CGATTACAATTTTGTAATGTGAACCAAACGATGTTCTCACGATTCTTTGTGTGACGAACAACAACAACAACAGTAGCAGCGGCAGCAGCAACAGCAACAGCAACAGTATCAACGTCGACGTTGAAGTCAACGGATAATGGCGACAGCCACGAAAACGTTTTATTTTAAGCAATTTTTATGGTATGGTCACACTTCTGGTGTGACCATCTTGAATCTGATCGCAATATCCCTCTAAATATCTGTTTAACGAATTGTCTAACATTCATCTCTCTAATTATTCATCTACCTATCTATCCAGCTGCTTATTTGTCGATCTATCTGACTGCTCATCTAATCATCTATGTATCTGTCTATTTACGGCAATGATTGTTTACAAGTCTATCACCTGCAGTTAGCTGAAAAATATTTTCACCGTTTTGCCAGAAATCTGTATATCGATTTATTGATAATTCTGGAAAATAATTTCTATTCTGATTTCATTACTGAACTCGTTTGTTGCTTTTATTATGCGCTTTCTTTCTCAAATCGATGGTTTTTTCCTTTTAATTTTATTTTACTGTCAAAACTGCTGGACAGTGACATTTAAAACTTATTTTTTTTTGTTGATGAATGAAAACTTGAATTAACAAATGATTTTCTTTGCTTTTCTCTAGTTTCTGTGAAAACAAATCAATTGAAATTTTCATTCAACACTTATCAAGTTAAATCTGTTTTAAAAGTATTGGTGAGAATAGGTGAAACCTAGAGGTTGTTGGTGAGAAGAAGCAAGTTCATCCCATATCAGTCATTTGTCGACCATCATTATCTCGTTCGCTTAGCTTTTGCTGCCTCATTTGGCGTATTGTGCTCACAATTAAATCAGACTGTATAATGTATTCAAATAAAGTATAGTCGACGAAAGAGGAAGGAGGATAATTTGCAAATACTTTAGTTTAAATTTGAAATTATTTTAATTATTTTATATTATAAACCCGAATAGCCCAGGTTTACTTTATTTATTTGTAGGGCAGTTTGCGTGAGCACAATTTCAAAGTGTTCAAGATGCTTGGTGCCGTGCAATATTTCATTTAGTTTGTTCAAAAAAGATTTTTTTAATTAGGAAGACTGAATTTTATAACCTCAGATTGGCTGTCGTTTCTTCAGTTGATTTTCCCCTGTAACAGTCATTTTCTGTACGGGGTTAAAAAAAGGAGAAGAGCAGAGACAGACAGGGGAGGATAGGAGACGAATAGGATGTTGGGGGGAGAGGGAAAGGAAGATCGTGTGTCCATTTGTTGATACCTTATTGTTCCTAATAATTCACTAGTTTTCTTTCTTTTGTGTGTGTATATGGGCGAAAATGTGGTTTTTACCTCGAGATTCTTCACTAACTTACTTCACTTCTTTTTTTCTTTCAAATTTTTTTTTGTTTTTTTTTTT